TACAAATATAATCTCAAAATATATAAAAAAAATTGACAGGCCGGGCGCGGTGGCTCACGCCTGTAATCCTAGCTCTCTGGGAGGCTGAGGCGGGTGGATTGCTCGAGGTCGGGAGTTCGAAACCAGCCTGAGCAAGAGCGAGACCCCGTCTCTACTATAAATAGAAAGAAACTAATTGGCCAACTAATATATATAAAAAAAATTAGCCGGGCATGGTGGCTCATGTCTGTAGTCCCAGCTACTTGGGAGGCTGAGACAGAAGGATCGCTTGAGCCCAGGAGTTTGAGGTTGCTGTGAGCTAGGCTGACGCCACGGCACTCACTCTAGCCTAGGCAACAAAGCGAGACTCTGTCTCAAAAAAAAAAAAAAAAAAAAATTGACAGGATTACAAGGAGAAAGCAACACATCTGTAATCAGTGGTAAATTTTAGTACATCTCTGTTGATAGATAAAGCAGACCAAAATTTAACAAAAATGTAGAAGATTTAAACAACACACACAAAACTTGAATTGATATATATACAAGTCTGTACCCAATAATTACAGAATACTCATTCTTTTAAAATACACATAGATCATTTATCACATTCTTTTACCACAATGCAATAAAATTAGAATTCAGGGGAAAAATATTATTTAAAAAAGAATGCACTTGAAAATTAAAAGAAAGTAGATTATAAAACCAGTGTGTGTAATATCATCCCATCTGGGAAAAAATTATACCTATGTTATTCATTGAAAATAAAAGGTTGGAAATGATAACAGTGGTTATTCATGGTTCTTTCACTTACAGGTGATTTTTAGTTTTGCTTTATTTTTATTTATTTATTTTTTGAGACAGAGTCTCACTTTGTTGCTCAGGCTAGAGTGACTGTCATGGCATCAGCCTAGCTCACAGCAACCTCAATCTCCTGGGCTCAAGCAACCCTCCTGCCTCAGCCTCCCGAGTAGCTGGGACTACAGGCATGCACCACCATGCCTGGCTAATTTTTTCCGTATATATTAGTTGGCCAATTAATTTCTTTCTATTTATAGTAGAGACAGGGTCTCGCTCTTGCTCAGGCTAGTTTCAAACTCCTGACCTTGAGCAATCTGCCCGCCTCGGGCTCCCAGAGTGCTAGGATTACAGGTGTGAGTCACCCCGCCCGACCGTTTTGCTTTATTTTTAAAGAGCTTTTCTCTATTGTTAACGTTTCCTGCTTAGAGCATTTCAGTGTCTTAGTCTGTTTTCTGTTGCTATGAGAGAATACTTGAGACTGGGTAACTTAAAAAGAAAAGAGGTTTATTTGGCTCAGGATTCTGAAGGCTGGGAAGAATAGAAGCATGGCACTAGTATCTGTTTAGCTTCTGAAGAGGGTACATGCTGCTTCACCTCATAGCAGAAAGGTGGAAGGGCCAATGAACTGTGTAAAGAGAGCAAACACGAGGAGCAACCTCACTTTATAACTGGCTCTTGCAGTAGGTAATCCAGTAATATATATATATATTCCAATGAGTAAGAACTCACTCCCACTAAACAGTATTAATCTGTTCATAAGGGATCTGCCTTCCTGACCCAAACACCTTCCACTAGGCCCCACTTCCCAATACATTGAGGACCAAGCCTCAACATGAGTTTTGGTGGGGGCAAACCATTGTTGAAACCATAGCACTCAGCATGTATTTTTTCGAATTAGCAAAAACATCGACAATGAATTTTATTTAGGATAACATGTAGAATAATAACTTGCCTAGGCTATTGCAGTAGCCTTCTAACTGGTCTCCCCTTTCTGTTCTTATCTCCTCATACCTTCTCTTCCCCCAAGCACTTAGAATGAATCCAAATCTCCAACCTTAACCTACAAGATTCTACATGACATTGCTCTAGCCTGCATTTCCAACCTGACCTCCAGTCACACTCCCCCTAACCACACTGGCTTTCACTTCCTTGAACTCCCCAAGCTCTGTCTATATTGGGTCTTCACATTTGCTACTCCTTGCATTTAGAAGCCTTACTGCTATCCTTTCCCCTATACCCACTTTATGTAAGTCTTAGGTATACTTTATTTTTCAGCTGAAATGTTAAATCCTTAGGGAAACCTTTTCTGGTTTCCCTTTCCAGGCTAGGTTTGGTTGTCTGATAGATATTCTCAAAGTACTCATTCTTTTTCTTTATAGCAGTAATTATAGCTTAAAAACAGATATTTATGTGTTTACTTGTTTATTATTTGTCTCCCTTGGTACACTGCATGCTCCATGAGGGCAGGAACCACATCTGGTTTGCTCATTACTATATCCCCAGTACCCAACACAATGCCAAACATGTGGTGAGTGCTCAGTGGAGATTTGTTGAAATATAAATGAGTGAGTGAATGAACAAATGATTGAATCCCCACAAAAGCTACCAGAGATTATGGAATAAAAAAACGTGAAAGAGAAGCATATGTAGGCTATGCTATGACACAATTGTGGTTTAATTTCCAGTTCTCCTGGTAATGGCTAAGATTCAGTAACAAATCCTGACAAGATAAATTTTCCTTTATATGCTCTTTTCTACATTTGCTTTAGTGGCCTATACCCCTTTAAAAGAAGAAAGCCCTGTGAATTAGCTTAAAAACAACAAAACAAAATAACTACTGTAGTCGTTACTTGTGAGGCCAAGGACAGTAAAGTAGGATGATTTCTAGATAGGTATAAATCACTGGATCACATTTTATTGTTCTTGAAGCTCTGTTTCATTATATAATTGATACAGCACCACATAACCAAAGACCGATTCAAGTTGGCCTGGATATGCTCTATCTTCTCTTCCAGGGACAACTTGTACACATTCAGTCAGCTTGAGTAATAATGGTCTTTGTAATTAGGCCCAGAACACAGGAAAAAGTGATACATTTTCCACTGACTCATTGTTACTCTCTAGAGAAGAAGAAAATATCTGTTACTGTGATGGTTAATTTTAGGTGTCCACTTGACTAGATTAAGGAATACCTAGGCTTGGTAAAGCATTACTTTTAGGTGTGTCTGTGAGGGTGTTTCCAGAGGAGATTAGCATGTGAGTCTGAATGGAATAGGTAGGGAAGATTCATCCTCAATGTGAGCAGGCACCATCCAATCTGCTGGGGGTCCCAAGAGAACAAAAACAGAGAAAACACTGTTGATTTATCTACTGGAATGGGGAGATACTCTTCCTCTCCTGTCCTTAGACAGTAACTCCAGGCTCCCCAGCCTTTGGCCTCTGGGACTTACAGCAGCACCCTCCACTTATCCACCCCCCATTCTCAGGCCTTTGGCCTCAGACTGAGTTACACCACTGCCTTTCTTGGTTGTGAGGCCTTTGGACTGGGACTGGGCCACACTACCAGTATCTCAGGGCCCCAGCTTTCAGACAGCCTGTTGCAAGACTTCTTAGCGTCCATAATCACGTGAGCCAATCCCCCTAATAAATCGCCTCTCATATATCTCTCCATCCATATCCTATGGATCCTGTCTTTCTGGAGAACCCTACTAATATAGGTACTACTTAGACTTGCCCCAGAGTTTAAACTTTTTTTATGCACATTTTATTATTTACTTTTTTAAAATGTCAGGGCATTACAGGGGTACAAATGCACCACCTGCCCCAGAGTTTAAACTTTAGGGTATATTCTCAAATTCTTAAAATGCAGCCATTTGAACAAATGCTAAAAAAAGCAAAGGAGGAACTCTTTAGGTCCTGTAACATCATAGGCTTAAATTCACAGACACTAGCTTCCTTTCAGTTAATCCCACCCTCAACTCTTGCCTCCACAGAAGAAAGTCATAGTGGTAATTTATATGCCAAATTCTGTACAAAAGCTTAGTGTTTTAACCCAACCACTTTTTTCCAAAATCGTCTTTTCATTCTATTTGATCCAGTCACACTCGTGCTTCTTAGTTGCTTCTTAGCACTAATTGCTTCTTAGTTCTAAGATGCTTCTTAGTTATATATGTAATTAACTCTAGAAAATATCTGCTTGAATATTTATTCCCTTAGTGGTTCACATAGTAGTGATGAACATCTTTTAGTTGCTTACCTCTTTTCAAAATTTATTCCCAGGCAGTTCTACAATAATGTGTGAAGCCAAGTCACAGAAGCTTTAAAACATAATTTATTCATAAATAATTCTGAAATAAACTTATGCAATACATTATAGAAGAGGCAGGGGCATTAGCACAATCCATAAAAGTAGGTATGTCTAATTAAGAAGACAGGAGATGCCCAACGTCCTATGAATGTTACTTCCATATGTGTTTGTACCCCTGTAATATTCTGAAATAAAAAAATAAAAAAAGAAGATAGGAAATGAGGGAGAACAGGTTTTATAAATGTACCACACTTTTCTTTATATTCCTTTTAAATGTCAAGGATTTCAATTGACTAAATATAAACACAGTACCTGAAAAGGCATTGTTAATAATTATTAATGCACATAAAAATATTTTTAACCTAATAGATCCAAGCGTTGAAAGCATGACTGAAGAAGCCAAATAATACTGTGTGCTCAAAAGTATTTCTTATTCAAGTAAACATGTGGCTAGTATGGTACATGAAACTGTTTATAATCCTTTGTTACTTGTATATTCCAGAACAATAGTGACAGCCTAAACAGAGAACATTCTAAATCCTTTGATAAATCAATAAAAAGGCAACCAAATGAACTTCTCTGGTGATAATAATGACCAACTGCTATGCAACTGATTGCATAACAGTGTAATTAATTAGCTTAAATTCTTCAAACTACTGAAATAAGTGGACCAACCATTTCACGGTCATATTTCAGTTATGTAATCAATCATGTAGTAATCTAACTGGTTAACCTGTAAATATTCTGTTCGGCTATCATAAAAATGCAATAGCTCATTATGTATTAGAAAACAATATTTCCTAACAAAGTAGTAGAAGTGACTATAAATGATCAGAATATCAGAATATCACTAGAATTGAATTTTTGCCCTTTCCAAAATATGTCAGAATAACAAAGAGAATATAGAAAATATTAACCAATTTTTCAAAATTTTTTAATTGTGAATAATGCCACTTTATCCCTATTTCTTCTTATTCATGCAGTTTCAGAAAAAATTAACAACATCCAACTCTCTTTTCATGGTTGCAGTGACTTCGAGAGTCTCAGTCTCTCGGGTATAGGATGCTTTAGCACTGCTGCATTCCACAGGATGGGGAAGGGTTATCAACAGCTTCCTTAAAAAGAAAAACACACACACACAAAATACAAAATAAAAACTTAGAATTACATCCCTAGAGTAATATATCACTTTCAATAAGACAGTAGAAAGCAACATCTACCACTAGAATGTTAGAAACCAAAAAAAACCAATATTTTCAATCAAAAATATGCATAAATAACACAAATAGTATACTAGTTTTTTGGCCTTAAAAATGCAAGCAGTTGTTTTGGATCCCCTCTTTTTTCCTAATTGACCTCATTTTGCATTGAAGAAACAGTCTCAGGCTATGTTTATAGGCATAGAAATAGAATCATGAAACTTTAAGTTTGCGGGCCAGTCATTCTTATGTGTAGATGGAATGTGGCTGACTGTTACAAATTTGGAAATTGGAATGGTTCTAAAATACTTGTGCTAACACAGCTTTTAAGCTGAGTCTCTACCACAGGTGTAGTTTTTCAAACTCAGGCCTGGAATGATTTCAATACCAGATCAATGAAAGTGCTTCTCTCTGCTTGCTTCTGATTCTTTCTACTACACATTGACAAAAATTCTCTGTGATAGATTGCTAGGTTTATTTTGTGGTTTACGGCTCAGTTGCTGGATAGTTGTATGCTTTAGATGCATTGCTAGGATGAGACATCCATAATTCTGTCATAGTGGCATGTATCTGAATTATGCATGGGGTCAGCACATGCTGGTACTGGAAGAAAATTAAACGCATGAAACACTTGTTACCTCACATTCTCAGTAGAGAAGGTCTGAGTATCTCTATAAAAGGTGGGCAGAAGGCTCTTTTAGAAAGTATAATATCCAAATCAGTAAAGGAATCTGGTTTTCTTTAGGGACACATCGGGTACTTGAATAGAGAGCTAGTACATATTTGAAAACAAAACCCTTGAAAATCAATTCCCTCTTTAATTCATTTGCAAAAACCTAAGTTCAGGAGACTAGGCTCATTAAAAGTATTTATTACACATTTCTGGAACCTAAAGGAGAAATTTTTTGTGTTCTAGTTCCATTCCAGATGGGGTAAGAGAAACCGCACCCTCCACCTGAAGTAATTAAATGGCAATGTATGTTAATGTAGCCTGTACAATTTGGCATCTCAAAAACAAGAGGGTACAAAAAACGTTTAGAGTCCATTTTTAAAAGCTGTTTACAATATGTGTTCTACTAGAGTTAGATTTACTTTATCCCTTATTCTATAAATGATAATATATTCACTTTAAAAAGAAAGCAAGGCTTAGTATGGTAGTTTCATTGCACTACAAGACAACTATAAATCAGCTGAAGAAGGAGTTCCAATGATAATGTGCACTTCTCTGTCCAGAGAGAAATAAATTCAAAAGAGACAGTTAGTGGCCATTGGAATGATCCATCTATCCCTGCATTTCTGTCTAGTTCTGAGTAGTATGGCTTCACATACTAAAATGTTGAACAATAGAATTGTGCGACTTATTTAAGCTGTTAGGAGAAGGGAATTATTTTTGTCTAGTCTGTTTTACTGTATTATCTGTATTGAGATTTATATTTAAACAAAATAAAAATTCTAAAAATACTTATCCATGTACAATTCATCAAGGGACAGAACTGTATCTTATCTTGGTGTTCCTCTAGTTATCTAGCAAAAAACTTTAGAAATGGTTGTTGAGTGAATAAATACATGAATGAAAAGCAAATATTCAGGTCACCACAAAATAACATTTGAATAATTAACATGGATTAATACTATAAAATCTGAATAAACACTTAAACCCAATACCTCTGCCTTTACAATGATAATGTATTTGCTTTTTAAGAAGTTACAGTCTAGGCAGTGTTCAAATGCTCATCCAGTGTTAATTTTCACTAGAAATTATTTAAATGCAAACAATAATATATGAAAGTTAAAAAAATTATTTATGCAGTGAACTCAAGTTTAGAGATTTACATGTTTATATTTATATTAGAAAGTTGATGTTGCTTGCAAGAGAATTAAATAAAGGAAAACCTAGTTCTGTGCATATTCACAGAATGCAGTTTTTATTTTAACGTAGTTAACGAAATTATTTGATTTACATATCTGGGTTAAAAATAGATGCGTCCTTTTTAAGGTTTTCTGTAGGAAACATAACTATTTTCAAAGACAATGCAGAAATAGCTACTGAGCTGAGATTCAACCATTTCATTTAGAAAGCTTTTTTGGGGGGTATTAGTGTCTTTGAATGTCAGTCAACTCTCAATTAATCTGAATTAAAGGAGCACAACAAATGTGTGAATAACTTAAGGCAGCACTCAACCACAAATTAGCTTATATTTGTCTTTAGAATGTGTTTGTATTATTATATTCAAGGTATTCATTTATGATGTTCTTAGAATTCACTTAGGAAAATAATGAAACCTCATATGAAGTCTTAAGTCAGAAGATTCTGAGAAATTATCCAATTTCCCCCATCTTTCCTCCTTCCCATATACTCTATGTTGGGAATCTACATGCCAAAACAACCAATTGGAAAAAAAAATGAAGAATTCAGTAAATTGCTTTATTTATTTATTTTTTTGGTTATATAATGCTAAATACTTGGATTTTATTGAAAATTCTAGTGCAATTGATTACTGTTTGACTGAAATCACTGGTTAATTCAGTTCAAATAAATTCACTTGTTATTCCTTATAGATACATAAACAGAATATCCCCTCTTAAATCTTTCTCAGAGTGGATAAACAGTGTTATAAGATGTCACAATTAGAAACTAAAGAAAGCAGGTGTGATATCAATAAACTAAAAAATAAAACACACTTCTGATAATACAATTTCCGATAATAGCATGGCTCTAAAGGATGCTCAAGTATTTCAGAAAATGTAATAAATAAACCTTAATGCTATCTTCTGTCTTCTATCTTAATTAAGAAAATTTACTTCTCTGCACTAAGCATTTAATATGTAGGTACACTATGATACAAATGGCTTAATGCAGCTTGTGTTCTATGTGGAAAAATACCTCTCTGTGAGACTTTCATTTAGTGGGCTCTGATAGATATCTGGAATGACAGCACAGCCACAGCAGCTGCCTGAAGATTGATGGAGACAGTGAGAACTGCTAGGAAAACGGAAATTAACTCCATGGTGTGTAAATATGTGTGTGCTTTTAACAAGCGTGCAAATATCATGGAAGACTGTTTATTTAACCAACTTTCTTTGCAAAGGTTATGTGGAAGAGTAAATGCATGTATAAAATGCAATGAAAAGGGTACAATACTCCTTGAAATAAATGGTAAGAATAGTGAATGTTGTTTTTATAATATGAGACAATTATTTTATGAGAATACATTTTTTAAATGATGTAAATAATGAGAAAATATTTGACATATATTCATCTGTAGATCATTTTGGGTTAAATGAATCTACTACAGAAATCAAGATTAAGCTATGTATGCACATTGGGTTGTTTACACATAGGAATCTTCTGCAGAAGGAATCTATTTTTTATTTTCTTGAAGCCCTAAGTTCAGCAAAGGAGAATTACAGGTACAGAAAATAGAAGGAAGAGAATTTGCCAGCAGCTGCCTGCTCCCCAAACCCAGTTTGAAATGTTCATGAGTTACAGAGAAAAGACTACTATAATCAACCAATGTGTGCTCACTGCTATATATCAGATGAAAAGTGAAAGAAGCAGTGAGATATTTAGATATTTTATCTAACACATGCCAGATTCCATTGAGTCCCTCTTTGTAGAGTTCGTTTTGAGAGACAGAACTGATTTGTCCATGTTTCCATAGAAACATTTTATATCAGAATTTTGCTGTATGTGTTATATTTTGGTAACATGATTTGAACCTATGTAACAACAAAACTATGCTTGAAAATATACAAATGTTTAAATGAATTATTCCATGATCTTCTGTATTATTTTTAAATGTGTTCACACAGACCAAGAATCTAATGAAAATGAGCTGTTAGAAATTTTGTTTTAAGTAATTGATGACAAGATCTTTCTGTTGATTTTTAGAGAAACGCAATCAAATTTAACCTTAGAGCTCCACAACATCCAAGAAGTTTAAAAATATTGCTTCTCTTATGCAATCAATGTATTAAAAAACACATGCAAGACTTACAACTTAAGGCATCCTCACTTCTAGCTATTTTTCCTGACAGATACACAAACTATATCTAAATGTCAAGGATTGTATTTTGATGGTATCAACCCACCCCAAATGTATGGATGCAAAATAGAAAAAAGCTTAAGCATTTCCAAACATATTTATGTTTGTATAATGTAGATCAAACATTTGAATGGTTAACTGAATTTTTCACTTTTTTCCAGACTTTAGGAGGTGATGCAAAATAACTATGTATACTTTAAAGATAATACTGACTAAAGACTAATTAATATTATAATACACTATTCTAGTTCTAAGTTTTACTCACTTATTAGGAGTACGAAGGTCAAGGAACATTTCCTGGATATCAATGTCAATATCAGAAGGGTTTGTATCTGGCAGTTTAATTTTAACCTGAAATAGAAAGTGAGAATAAAAATACTATTATCGTGGAGAACAGTTAATTTGAAGAGTGTAAGAATATATGGGGAAGAGAGAACTAATATTTATTAAGTGCCAACTATGTTCTTAGCTATGCCCTATCTTTATAGCAATCTTGAGAAGCAGGGATTATTATCCCCATTTTACAGATGGCGAAACTATAACAGAGAAATTTAATGAGTGGCCCAAAGGTAACTATCTGTAATTTGACTAAGGTTTATCTACCTCCAGACCTATATAGAAAACATTTTGTTTACTTGCCTGTAACCTTCATTGTCGGAAGGTGTAAACCAGTGCAGCTGCTAAAGTTGGGGACCTTTAATCACCTTTATATCAGGGGGCAATTTGTATAAAAAATGTTTAGTTCCCATATTGGGTGTGGGTTGGTAATGCCATCTTCTAGTCTCTTGGTATAAACTCCATACCATATTTCCTAGGAAGGTTTAGGTGTCCAAAAAGGTTGTTATCATAACAAAAGAGAATTAACAATATGACCCCCACCTCCCAAAAAGGACTACTTCTTGGTTTAATAAGATTTCACTTAGAAACATCTCATCTCAGTTACCACATGGGCCAGCACCTTCACTCCTGGGTATATACTCAAGAGCATTGAGAACAAGTGTTCAAACAAAAACATGGACATAATGTTTTTGTTCAAAGCAGCACTATTTGAAATAGCCAAAATGTATAAGCAACTCAAATGTGCATCAACTGATAAATGGATAAACAAAATGTGGTATATCCATACCATGTAATATTATTCAGTCATAAAAAAGAATAAAGGACTGTTATATAAATGAATCTAAAAATATTATAAGTGAAAGAAGCCAGGCACAAAAAGTCACATATCATAGGATTCTATTTATATAAAATGTCCACAATAGGCAAATTCATAGAGACAAAAAGTAGATTGGTGGTTTCTGGGGGTTGGGGAGATGGAGAAAAGGGGAGTAACTGCTTAATGGGTATGAATTATATATTGGTGATGGTTGCACAACATTGTGAATATACTGAATTTCACTAATGGTAAATTTTATACTATGTATATTTTACCATAACACAAAGTCTCATCTCTCTAATTTATATTCTTTTCTTTTTGATGGAACCTAATGAGATGACATGATAAATGGTTTCCATAAACAAAGAAAACAAAGAAAATGAAACATAAGGTTCAGGTAAATTATGAAGCCTTCTCTAAAATGAACTAGAAGACTTGAAATATTAGACATATGGTGATTTCATGGCTGGAATGGCCAGAACAAAAGCAACAAGTTACGAGGAAAATACATATCAAATAAGTAATGGGAAATTCCTTTTAAGAAGCTTAAAGTAGGCAATTATGCTTTTGCAGTATAATGTATGTTGAACAATATATGTCTGTGAATTATATTTTACTGTATTAAATCTGTACATAAACAAAGATTTGTAAATAGAGCTCTAAAAATGCTACTATTAAATAATTCCTATGGTTAATATTTTTATTTAACCAAGAGTTACCTCCTAATTTATAGTTTGAAAACTCAGATCTTCATAATTAGAGATGCTTTAAGTGAGAGAAATAGAACATTTCTTAAAGAGAATAGTTATAGGTGCTCTGCCTCAGTAAATGAGCATCTGTTGAATAAAGAAAGCCCCATTTTTACTGTAGTAAAATTCAGGTCTGATAATCAAGTTGAGATGTACTTTTTTGTTTGTTTGTTTTGTTTTTTTACTCCCCACTATACTAATGAGGAGGAATCAACATCTCATGTTGATTCATGTCACATGGCCCACAGATTACAAATATTTGTTTCTTTAGTCTAAAATGTTTAGACCTTTCAAGGTAAAATATTATTTTTGCAGGGTTAAAATGATAATTCAGAGAGCAAAAAAATATGACATGCAAAATTTAGATACAATTTTTGGGTAGACCTTTGAAGTGGTTCTTAAAATCATTTGCTGTTCTAGTGAAGGATAATTCAGAAACAACTCACTAATTTTTCTTCTTAAGGAAATTAAAATTGTATACTAAAATGGTTTCAAAGAAGGGACAAATTAGATGGAATGGTACACATTAATATCTCTCAAGATAGAAGATTGAATGAGGAATCTTAACAGAAAAACAACTCTTGAAACATGAATCAGACTTCTTCAGCAATACTTTCAACGAGTACCTAGAAAATAGACATGGCTAATAATGGACCTCTAACTCATTGTGCTCAAGACCTAACTTGTTAAGGTCTTAAACATTAGTAAATACAGGATAATGCCACTGACCAAACAATTAAAGAGATTGATGTTCCTCTCTTTACAGAAGATATAAATTGAATTTATTTCAAAGAATAAATTGTTTTAATATTAATAGGTAAACTAAGAAAAACTGCTAAAAATTCATTGAGAAACTCAACTTTTTGAGAGGTCAATCTTTGGAGTCAAACTGGGTTTGACTGGTTCTGTCACTTATTAGTTATTTGTTGTTTATTGGTTATCTATTTTTGCCCCTCCCAAAATTTATGGCTCAAAAAATTAATATTTGTTATCCCACATAATTTTCCTGGATCAGGAATTTGGGAGTGGCTTAGCTAGGTGGTTCTGTCTTATGGTCCATCATGAGGTTGTATTCAAGATATTGGCTGTGGCTGTAGACATCTGAAGTTTTGACTGGGGCTGGACACTCTGCATCCAAGGTAGCTCACTCACATGGCTGCTGGGAGGAGGCCTCAGCTCTTTACCACATGGACTTCTCCATAGTGTTTCTTGAGCATCCTTATAACACAACAGCTGTCTTCTCCACAGAGTAAATAATCCAAAAGATCAAAGCAGAAGCCTTTTAAAAACATAGCCTCATAAATTACACTGTTTCATTTTAAAAAATATCTTGTTGGTTACACAGGTCAGCCCTATTGAACATGGGAAGGAACTATACAAAATGAAGCATATCAGGAGATCAGAATCATTGGGGGCCATGTTGGAAGCTGACTACCATAGTACCCATCACTAACTTTAGTTCAGCCTTTTGGCCTTGTAAATAAAAAGTAACAGGAAAAAAAATCCATTAATTTAAGGTTTGTAAGATCCCTCCTTCCCATTTTCAGCTTGTCTTTAGGCAATTAGTCAAAAACTACTCAGTCTGTCTCTGGGAATTTACTTTGAAGCTTTCCTGGAGAGAGGTAAGGTAGATCAAAGTGCTTACAAATTGTTTTCATGGGCCTTCATTTATTTTCCTATGTGTGTCATAACAGAGCCGGCATGCTATACCAAAGCCTTTGGAGGGAGTCATTATTGAGGGATTATCACTGTGAGTTTTAAATCTCTTTTTTCCTATCTTGTTCTTAGGAGAGATTTATATGACAAGATGGTTCCTAAAATATCATATTCGTGTAATTTGTAAGCAATTACCATAGGCTTCCCAGCTCCTCAGATTAATGTCTTTGGTCTTATTGCAAGATGATTGAAAACTGACATGAGAAGTTCAAATTGGAAGTGTTCCATGGAGGGCAACCATTCTAGGTTTCCTCTTCAACTGTCACTTTGTCACCACCAGAAGTGATGAATAAGTGAAAAAAAAATCTTATATGTAACTTGGCTGGTCTGCACTATCTTCACTTCTTAAGAAATGTTTGGGTTTATACTTAGAAGATATTCTAAAATAATTTATGGGTTCTAGATATCGTAAAAATATTTCTATTTGACAGAAATATAGCAACCACCTCCAAATAAATTTGATTATTAGGAAAGAAGTTAATACTATTTGAGTTTCCAATTGAAAGGTAACAACATTAGGAAATTTTGATTAATGGAAAAAATTTGGATAGGCTTCATTCTGAATTGCTTCAGTGATTTAATTTCCCATTGTTTAACTATGGAAACATGTGTGAGATATTTTCCCACTGCAGCCATACTAAGTATTTCATGAAAACTCCCATGAACAATGATAATCTATATAAACATGAAAAAAATGGTTAAAGGTATGGATCCCTACTTTGAAAGTATATAAATATTTACCCCTGAAGAATAAAAATATAGACGTATGTATTCTCCAAAACTAGGGCACAAAACCAATAGATCATCTTTTAAAACTAATGGATAAATTTCCTATAATGTCACCATTTTGAAACAGTCCAGTACTGTCTTTTTTTTAAAAAAAAAATAGTTCTTAGACTCAAGACTCCTTTCCTGTCACAAGAATAAAGAGTAAGCTCAGCTCATTCTAGAGTAAGAGCATTCCTCCATATATCCAATGGCACCCACCCTCAGCCCCTGAACACTCACAGCCTCACCACCACTATCTGTCTTGAGACCACCAGAACTAAATTCATTATATTTTTATCTCTATTTTTCTATAACCACAAGAAGCCTCAGACTACCAAATCATTTCTTATCGCATAATAATTACCATATAGGTCTTCATATCTTCTATTTTGTCTCCATTTCCCACTCCTCATCCAATCCTGAACCTTTTCCATTAGGTCCTCTGGAATACACAGTACATCATCCCTTATCTCTTAAGCTTCTTTGAATATTCTTTTTAATTTCTTAATAGTCTAACTGAAATCTGCATCCCCCCATGACACTGCTTCCCTTGTAGTCCTCTCAGTTGGTGCCTGTTATTTTCTCCCATCTCCCTCATATCAATGGCTCTGCTCCTTCCTCCTAGTTTTAAAACAAAATCTCATGTCTTCCATTATGCTAAGTGAAAAAAGCCAGATACAGAAAGAAAAATATTGCATGATTTCTCTTATATGTGGAATCTTTAAAAAAAAAAGGTGAATACATAGAAACAGGGAGTAGAATGGTGGTTACTAGAGGTGGTATGGAGCATGGGGAGATGCATATCAGAGAATACAAAGTTTGGGTTAGTTAGGATGAATAAATCTCTAGATATGAAGTACAGCATGAAGACCATAGTTAATAATATTGTACTGTATACTAGAAATTTTCTAAGAACGTAGATTTTAGGTGCTTTTACCAATCCCCCCACAAAAAGTAACTAC